GAGGGGGGCGACTTCAAAGCGACTTTAAAGTCGCAACCCCCCCCGGATCCAAGATTCAAGATTCAAGGTGCCTCCAAAAGTTTTTTCCAGGCACCTTGAATCTTGAATCCGTGGGGTGGCGACTTTAAAGTCGCTTTGAAGTCAACCCTGAACTGAAAGTGTCTAAGTACAGATGGGCCAGGAAAGCCTGGCAGGAGGAGGGGGTACATTTCTGATGTCCAGGTTGGTTTTAGGGGGGGGGCCTTCCCATACATATATATATATATATGTGTGTATCACACTGTATACGGTCCAACCTCCCACCTGCAAGGCGCGCCGGCCGGCCTTGAGAGCGCTGAAGCCTGGTGACTACGGACCTGAGCCAAGGTTTTAGGGCGAAAGTTTAGGCTTCCGGGTTCAGGGTTCAGGTAGCTACCCTCTTTTTTCGACAGTTGTTGCTACAGTAGGCACGGATTGATTTTTGGTCGAGTAATGAAGATGGTTCAGAGTTCGGGAGTGCTGCAGGGATTGATTGGGCTGTGCCTGCGAACCATTGGAACGTTGTGTCTTGAGAGATTCGGTCAGAGACATCCCTCAGCCCGAATCAAAAGAAACCCCGTAAACTTATAAGCCCTAAAAACCCTAAACCCATTCAACCCCCCAAAAGCACCCTTCCAGAGCTTCAGTCCAGAGGACTGCCCCCGAAGCTCGCGGGCATGGCCTCCGCGCTAGCGGGCCTCCCCAACGACCGCATGAGCGGCTCGGGCCTTCCAAGCCAACAAGGTCTTCTGCACGTTTTGAATTACATGTATGTATGTTTATGTTAATTAGTATATATGGGTCCAGTACATCCTTTTTTCGTACTTAGTTTACGCCCCTGCTTAAATGTTTGCACTCAGACAGCTCAGGATACCAACAGCTCATGGCGCTGGCTGCAAAGCCCAAGCCTTGGATTGTGCACTGTGGACTCGCCTGCGTTTTCGTCGTATTTGGCTTGCTTCTGAGAGAAATGCGAAGAATTTGGAGTCTACATTCAACGCAATTCTGGTTTATTGGGAGGGGGGAAAGATTGACCTCAAATGCAGGCTGCCAGCCATGCCGGCAGAGCTGAAGCTCCCAGAGAACAAGGCCGTTCGGCCTTTAACTTGCTCAACATGGGTAGCTCCGGCCAGTACGGCAGTTGAGTTTCGTGCTGTCCGGCTGTCCGCAAACGATTACAGCTCTTCAGCAAGTCGAAGCTTCCCTTGAGGTTCCTGGTTGCTTGAGTACCGTGCATGCCGGGGGCTCAGCAGGGACGGGTTTCAATGCACAGCAGATCATAGCTGTCATAGCTCTTGACTAGTAGAAAATGCTTTTGCGTATTGATTGCATGTCTTATGGTCTTGCTCTTGCAGGTTTCCGCTCGTCTGGAGGAAGATGCTTGGGCCGAAAAGCATGAACTGGCATGAACGATCATCGAGATTCCAATGTCTGCGCTTCGCTACTCTGCACTTCAGCATGGAACTGGCATTCTACAGGTTCATCTCAGACATCGCAAGATCTTAGGATGGCACAGTCAGCTTCCAGGGAGACTCGGATGCCTTGATCTCCAAAGGCCCCCCCGCGTTTCGGATTGCTTCGAAGACGTGCGAAGTCACTGGGATGTTCTCTGAGAACCTTTTTGATGTTGGGTCTGCCCTGCAAGCTGCACATAAATGCAAATGCAACTGACAACGTCATGTGCCAAGCCTTTGCTACATCAAGACGCTCGAAGGTCTTTGTGCTTTGCTGGTGCTGTGCCTTAGTGGCTGCACACCCGAGGCTGGGTAGACTTTTCCTGTCAGATCAGCTTGTGCTTTGCCTTTCTCCTCCCCTTGTCGCCCATACCGTAGAGAACGAGAACCCAGCACGTGCCATCACGCCCGAACCCAGAAAGGCGAAGGCCCAAAGAGCCCAATGCCCCTTCATGTAAATTAGAGAAGATAGTCTAAAACAAGGTAGGGGGGGTAAGTTGGGTTCTCTCGGGAGTAGAGTTTGAGTGAGCGGCCCCTTGGTGAAGGAAATTGCCGGCGTGAAGCCTGAGTTTATCAAGGCGCGCAGACTTGTGGGAGCACGCTTCATCTTGCAAGCTCTTTATACACCCCTCTCATAGCCTGTATACAAACCCTAGAAGCCCCTGAACTAGAAGCCTGAAAAAACCCAACCCCCCGCCCCCCCCCTTGAAACCTTCGAAAACTTGACTGAGCTGCTGCCTCGGACCTCCGGCAGGCCTCGGGAATCTCTGCAGCTTTGACACCAGGCCGCAACAACGGCTTCTTCAATATGCCGTGACCTCATTGACTACACCCTTCTGGACTCCCGAGATGTCAGATTTGAGGGATTTGAGCAGCTTGCCGCATTTAGAGCATTGGACCGATCTCCCCGAGGTTCAAGCTGATGAACCAGAAGGTCGCCCTACTGACCAGGACCTCCCCTGCGGAGGAGCAGGAAGAGGAGGAGCGGGGCAGGGAGCAACCCCCTCTTATTCCACGTTTCAGGGCTTCGTCACTTGCTGCCTCATTATCTGTGCTGGAGGCAACCAGGCAACGGAGGCAGGAAACCAAACAGTAAGCCCCACAAGCAAACAGTAAACTTGGCCTAAACCCTAAACCCAGGGCTTGAAAGGGGAATCCTTCTCCCCAAAGTGCAGAGCTTGCTTCACTGACTCGCTTGAAGAGTCCGGCTTTATCCTTTATCCTTCGTAAGCCGCTTAGAGCCTGAAATCCCCAAGCTCGCGTCATCACAGTATATACTATGAATGAGTGTAACACGAGGACTGTTCCTCTATGCATATCTAGGCAATACTCGCTGCAGACCTGACAGACATGTAGCGGATGAAATCCTTGGTCAGTACTGACATAGTAGCGTTGGAGAGCACCACGTAAATCAAAACTACAGTATACAAAGTCCGGAAGAAATTTTCGCAACATCCTAAGCCAAGAAACCCAGCTACTGTTAGGAAGCTACGGCTTAATGTTCCACAGTTCCACATGTGATGTTTACACTGTTCAACACATACACTTCGAAGCGTTCTCTTAGAACAGAAAACGGCGCAGCAAGCACAAAACCCTAAAGGCCCCCTAAACCTTAAAAACCTGCGAGTAAACCGCGAAACCCTGTAGTAAACCCGAAAGGTTTCCACTGCACAACCTCTGATCTGGGCCCCCTGGACACCACTCCTGAGGGATTTTGCACATAAACTCCCCAAACCCTGTAGGGCAAAGGGTTTAGGGTGTTATACGCCGTTCACTCTGTATAAACTCCCCAAGCCGTCTACACCCTAAAAACTTTTCCCCAAAGAAAGTGCCCTTGAGTGTCGCGAAGGCCCCAGCGGCAAAGGAGCAAACATCATCTCCAGGGCTTCAGATTTACAACACGCGCCTTGGAAGAAGGACTCAGGAGGTTTTTATAGGGTCGTGTTTGGATTGTTGGGTTCATTTAGGGTTTAGGATTGATTTAGGGCAGCTAGCTTTTCGGCAGGCAGGAATTGAGGTTGTCAAGACTCCCGCAACACGATTCGGAAAGGGTCTTCGTGTTTCATGAGAGATTGAAGCTGAGTGCGTGGACCCATCAACGCCTGAAAAACATCTTGGGGACAGTGGCTGTAGTCCCGTTAGGATGTATGCCTCCAGTCTTTGTTTGCGAAAACATCCCCAGGATGTTTTTGTTAAAGGAACTTTGCGATGGCGCTGAGTCGAGTACAGACTGAGGTCGACGAAGGCTCCATGCTCTCCCCCAAGGTGTTGGTTCCTTTTTTGTGGGTTCCTGCTATTAGGCATGCCTACTACTTGGAGCAGCTGCTTGTATCCAAAAAGGCGACCAAACCCCCAACAAAGCCCAATGCGACAACAGAGCCTAACACCTTGAACCCTAAGCATCCCTCTTAAAGCCCAAAACCCTACAAACCCCACGTACACCCCAAAGCCTAAAGCCCTAAGTCCTATTCCCCCAAACCTGTAAACCCCGAAAACCCTAAGCCCTTAGACGCCAGAACCCTCAAGACCTATTCCCCAAGAACCCTTCAAAATCCCTAGAACCTGAAAACCCCCGAAAGCCCTTGAACACCGAAGCACAGCCCTGGCCTTTTCCTTGCAGGCTCACGCGGGCGAAGGAGAAGTGTGGAACCTCAGAACTATTGTTTTTGGAGGGCTAGGCTGTGTATAGGGTTGTGAGCTGTAGCGGTTGGTAGGTGTTTATCGGGTTTAGGGTGGCGGATTGAAAGGGGTGGACGGTGGTCCGTCAAGTTTCTGGGCCTCGAGGTTTTTTTTGTCAGCGCTTGAGACCAGAAAGCCCTGCGCCCTCCCCAGGTTCACCACCCTGGAGCCTGACGTCGTCAAAATGTACGTCTGCCCCCTGCCCAAGCAAGTTGTTGTTTGCCCTTGCTACATTACACGCACTATTGGCAGCCGCCTGTTCTTGCACTGTCGTTTTAAGATGATCGTTCTACAGGTATAATGACGGTTCTGCGACAAGTGTCATGAGGATCATGCTGATAAGGAGAGAGTCTTATTCTGGACTTCGGCTTGGTTGGCGTTGCAGGCTGTATCCATGCCTCATTGTCTTCAGGCCGTACGGGTTAGGAGGCTTAGGGGTTTAGGGGTTTAGGGCTTAAAGGGCTCGGAGCAAGGCAAAGTCAAACTGAGGTGGCGTCACGGTCTATGACCTGTGCCATCTAGGCAACCTGCTTGGGGAAAAGCTTCTCTTTGCATGCAATAGGCCGGAGAGCAGTGATAGCCATAAACCATAAACCATAACGATATTTGGTTGGGGGCAGGGTGTCTGCTTTGGGGCCAGTAGTTTGCCACGAACAGTGGATAGATGCATGAATGTGCTCGGCCAGAACTGGCACACGACAGACCAGACACCCCATCTCACTTTGTCTTCCATAAACCCAGCAAGAGACAGGGTCACGCGCCACTCATTAGCCCTTACTCCGTAGAGCCCGCTAAACCCGGCTGCATGCTACAGAGCTTGTTTCGCGTTGTGGAGGCCATGCTCGGGTAATGGTCTTCTTCGACACCGTCGCCCGGTTTTTGAGGCTCTGGAAAAGCCATCTCATGCGAGCTGTGTCTAGCGATGGCGCTAGCTGGTAGAAACGGATAGGGTCCCCCCGGATTCTTCCAAGAATCTGCCAGCTAACCCCAAACTGAAATGCTCGAGTGATGGTGCACGGGAGTCGATGCTGATTCAGAAGTTCCGCTTAAGGGTTGAGAGGGCATTTCGTTTGGGAGCTTCGGAATGTTTCGGGCATCGTATTCATTTGTGTGCTCACCTGTGTCTTCTGGGTGCCCCGCGCTTGCAGTGGCTTTAGCAGAGGCATTCAGGCTACAAGGTGACCTTCGTTCGCAATGTGACGGACATTGAGCCTGAGCTGAAAATCCAGCACTTCTGGAATTCGTGCTCTTCTTCTGACATTTCTTGTGCTCCTTCTTCTTCTGATATCAGCTTCCCTCCCTCATGTCTGCATCGGCTTTCAGTCGAGCGCGGAGCCTGTAACGTGGGGCGCCAAGCCATTCCAAGCCCAGGACGACAAGATCATCAAGAGAAGCCTGGAATCGGGGGAGACGGCCCGCATCCCAGATCCCAGTGCCGGGGAGGGCTTCCATTTCTGTTTCAGAGGCCTCTGCTTCGGGAGTTCTCACCTTTGCCCAGCCCAGGCAGAAGAGCTGGCCCGGAGGATGGAAGAACTTGCGGGTTGGAGTCGTGATGAGTCGTGGGTGGAGGTCTTTACAGGAGAAGTCTTTCCGAGTCTGCAATTCTCCCTCGATGCTTGGGCCCGGCAGGATGGAGCGCGAGATGCAGGCCGATGCCCAGAGCCTCCACCCCAGCTTTCTGGCGTCGATCCCCAACACACGGGGTGCCCCGTCGCACGTGGATGAGCTCTGTTTAAATGCAAGGCTTGGCCCAGAATGCCCCCCTGTGATCCTAAGCCCGGAGCCCCATAAAGTACGTTTAAGTGTAGAGATAAGTATAGGCATACAGCATGTATGCGTGTGAACCTTCTCATGGAAAAAGGTCTCGGTTGCATCGCGCCTGATTTCGAGCCGCACCTTGGCTGAGCTAAAAGCGCCCCGAAATCCCTCTGCCACAAAATGATAGGGTTTCACAGGGTTGGCTTCGTGGGGTTGGGGATTTAGGAATTCCCTGCCAAGAACGAGTAGCCTCGAGGGGGAGCTTCGAGCTCGAGGGACGGGGCAGGGCTGCAGCAGGTCGGCTTGCGGGTTTTGGCGGTCGGCTTGCGCATTTCAGAAGGGTCTGAGGTCCTGAGGTTTGGGGTTCAGCCGGGGCTGGGGAAGCCGAGGCGGGTCTCCGAGCACTTGGCCGAGATCAAGGACATGGTGGGCAGGATCCCCAGAAACCTCAGGGCCTTTGATGAAGAAATGGCACGGCAAAACTGACCAAGACTGCCAAATCCCGCATCCCCGCCCTCGTCACACGCGTGTGCGCGTGCTTGCCAAAAGGAGTTCTATACCATCAAAGACTCTCCCTGGAATGAAGGTTCTCAATGTCGCTATCCGTGGCCTGCGTGGCCCTTCTCACTGTAGGCATCCGCTAGCAACCAAAGCTCGGCCCTGAGGGCAGCTGAGGTACGTTGGTGGGCAAAGAGTTCGCCTATGTTGGAAAGGAGGCTGGGACAGCGAAAAATCTACCTGCACAAGGCACATGCTTCACACCGGATGAACCTTGCCACAGTACCTCCTGGTAGCGATCAAATTCTCGGCCACAGTACGGCGGGGCTGCAAGTGCAACATATGAACCCTATGCAAACCATGGCTCTCTTTCTCAATCTCGCTCTGTCTAGGAGTCTAGGGTGGACGTCGAAGGCTTTGAAGCTCAAGGGGAAGTGCGGGGGCTGGGGGGGGGGGGGGCTTGGGGGGCTTGGAGGCACATCTTTGGCAGGAGGTGCAAGGGTGCTCATGCCTATGGCCCTCGACGCAAATCCCTCCCTCTTCGTCTTCACTACAGTCAGCCTGAGTATTCAGCCCACACAGCATACAGCATACAAGTCAATGGCACAAAGCTGTGAAGGCCCCTGACGACGACGGTGGCGACGTCTACTTCCGCCGCTTGCCCGCATCTAGCCGCGACTCTTATAACAGTTCAAGGCTCCGTCGGCGCATACGCCCCCCAAGCCCAAGAAGCGAAAGGTGTCCGGCGCTTCGAGGAGTATGGCCGGCTGTCAAGGCGCGAGATGTCCTCGGGTGCTTGGGCTTGGGTCCCGCAAGAGGTTTGAACTGCCCCCTAAAGCCCTCAAAGTTGGACGGCTTCTTGAATTGACGTTGAACCTCTGGGCACTTTGTTCACATCAGCGGCAAAATGAGCTGTTGATCCCTATTTCGGGCGGAGTCGCGCTGCAGGTGCAGCCTGGACGGCAACGAAGCTGGTGCTCGGGTCGAGGCCATCCACTGCCACCCAGTTCCACCCACTGCCACCCAGTCTGATTCTGGGAGCCTCAAGCTGTCAAAGCTGTCAAAGCTGTTCTCAAAGTCCGAGCCACAGGTTGCCGGGGTGAAAGAGGCTCCGGAGGATTTCGTGCTGTGGAAGTCCGCCAAGCCGAAGGCAAATTGTGGGTTCGGCAACTCAGGGGGCGAGTGTGAAGTTCAGCAGTTTGGTACGCAGCTGCACCACAGTTTCGGGGATTTTCGGAGGTTTCACACGAGTTTGGACTCTCTCTTTCGGACTCCAAGTCTTAGAATATGTACCTGGCAGCAATTCTTCTCGTGTGGCACATCCTCACGGCACAACATGCTTGACTGCATTAGAAGCCCAATGTGAGACCAAAATGTCCCCGGTCAGGAACCTCACTGGGACTCGCCCTGGGGGCCACGCTCCAAGTCTAATGTGCCGCCCTCTCTGCCCTCGCTAAGCCTTAAGCCTTGTAGCTGAGTCGAATTCAGGCACTTTGTGAACTCGGCCAGTATCCACGATCTGCAATGTCACGGGTTGATGGTACATGCCGGAATCCTGATAATTTCTTGCCAGCCTGCCTGACAAACAGCGCGCCCGATGTTTACAGGGACACCCTAAATATCCGGTTAAAACCATCCTACTACAAGGCCCTAAACGGAACCGCCATCCTAGAATACACCCTACAACAAACCCTACAGAGCCTCGGAAGGCCTGGCAGACCGGGCTGGCACATCGAATGCAGCGCCCGGGCACCAGGACAAAAATGGCACCTGGCAGGAGGCAAACAGGTGTACAGGCCCCGGGTAGGGTCGGTGGAGGCTGTGATAGGCTTCTTGGAGGAGCTAATTTGCGCTCGTTTGCATTCTACTGTACTGTTCCTTTTCTAACTGAGCTCCGGCATCTGTGCCGAGGCCATGGCAAAGAAGTTCCTCGGAGACACCTTGGATATCCATGGCGGTGGGCTGGAGACTCGGAAGCCGAGTCGAACCTCTTTGGGCCTTCTTGGGGACAGAGGCCGGACCTCATCTTCCCCCATCACGAGAACGAGATCGCACAGAGCACTGCTCTCAGACAAACCGAATGTTACGATGGATTAAGTCGAAACCCTGAGCCCAGCACCCAAGAACCCAAGAATTAGAAGGTTCGAGGCATGGAGACAAACACAGATATACCACAAAAAAAACCTGTATAAATCCTGTAAAAAACCCAGATAAAACCCAAACCCTGAAATCAGAAAAAGCCGAAAACAACCTGAAAACAACCTGATACAAAATTTCGAGGGGAGGGGGGGGGCAGGGCAGGGGGGCGGAGGACTGGGGGCGAGGGGAGGGGGCTCTTGTGTTCCTAAGGAAAAACGTGAAAAAAAAAACGCGAAAAAAGACGCGGAAAAAAACGTGAACAGAACCCAAAAAAAAAAACACCCCGCCCCTTCCCTCGCCCCCCCCCCCCCCCCCCCCCCCCCCCCCCCATGCAGGTGAGGCGGGGCGCCAAAGCCATGGTCTATGTCTCGTAGCATGTGCTTGGTTGCCGCCTTTTTTCTGTGTTTTTTTCAGGTTTGTCTTAGGTTCTTAGCGGGTTTCTCCGAACCCTGGCTTGGGTTTTTTTTGGGTTCTGTATAGATGAATTTTTTTTTTTATGAGCCGATTTGGGCATCTCCATTGGATCGGTCCTTTTAACCCAAGAACATTAGGACCATGCAGAGTCGAATTGATTCTTATTCTAATGTCTAAGCGTGTCCTTTGAACTTGTTTTCTCAAAAGGCCCTTCTACACACAGCCCAGGTGAGGCGGCCAACGGCAAGAGTTACGTGAAGACGTGGATGCACTGCGCTGCCGTGCGCCGTCCTCGCGTGGGCATCGATTGTTCTCGGGGGCGTGGAGAGATGAGAGAGGATCTGGAGTTTCCTGCCACCGCGCATTTGTATTCTCTTTTTGTTTTAGAGGCTAATGGCTTAGGTGCGGGGACGCGATAGGTGGTTTCCTGTAAGGCGCGCTGCGGGCAACGAGAAGATGTCCAAGTCACTGGGCAATTTTGTGCGGGCACTCAAGGACGGCTTTCTTCTTGAATTGATGGGTTCATTTGTGGTGTCACTTCGTCACTTCGAAGAAGTGGAATGAACTGGAAGTGTGTGACTGGGTGCTTCCGTGGCTTCCCCCCACGACTTTTGAGGTCACCATCCGCGACGTTCTTGACAAGTACGATGGGGAGGCAGCTGTTCAGACTCCGCTGCATGACGACGACATCATGAAACAAAATCCCGTTGAACACACTCACCAGACTTCTGGCGGCGACAGCATGCATGGACTTTGGTGACTTGGTTCAGTACTCGTGATGTCACCCACTCACCGATCCTTCTTACCTGTACAAGCTGATAAAGCAAAGAGCACTCAGCATGCAGAGAACCGGATCTGAAAGAATCCTGCGAAAATCATGCAACCCCGGCAAGGTGATCCGCTTCTACTTGCTCAGCTCACAGTACCGCAGGCCGTTGAGGGCGCAATGGGAAACACTGCGGAAAACAGCACAGGGTCTTGGCCAGAAATCAACGCAGTGTAGCAATTTCTCCTCACCGATTCAGCTAACTTTCAATTCCAGTTCATGCGCAGCAGGCAACATGTTGAATCATAAGTTTGAACAACAGCAATGAATGACCACGAGCCATCAATGATGACGAACCCTAGGACCCTAGGAAGCGGAGTCCAAACGGAGTCCTTTCTACAACTTCAGAATCACCAGCAGGCCCATGCTCTACGCGGAGAGCGCCCTGGCAGAGGCCGGAAGTTCTTGCACGGAGGGGGGGGGGGGCAGGAGGCGTGGGTTCCCTTCAAAGGGACTCTGATTCTGGATCACAATATCTCATATCTGGTGATGATATTACGAGAATCGCTCAAGAAGCCGCACCAACTGAGAGTTTGATCAAGGAAATGGACCACATCGGCAACATGGAAAGAACACCTTTCATGGGTCTCTGAAAGACTGGAGCGAACCGAAGAGGGAGAGAAGCTGCTGCCACTGCAGGCTCACGCACGTTTCTGTTGGCCGTTTGGATCTTCGGCTCCAGAAGAGGTATGCCGGGGCGCGGAAACTCGCAGCCATGCGAAACTTGCCACTGACGGAGGACTCCGTCGACCATGGCGCCGTTGCTTGGGCCGCTGGGAGTTGAAATCTTCAGAAAAATCGGCAGAGCGGTTTAGCTGGCATATTCGGCTTTCAGGTACGTACGGTCCTCCAAGATTCGCAATTGGGCATCTTTAAAGACTAAGCTCTCGATAGACTTAGGTCTCTGTCTCCACGGCACTGGTCTTCTTGATGACGACAGGACCCTGCTGATATCTGCTGTTCATTGTACTTCCCCTCTCGTGTGTCAACACCATCCTATTGGCCGCGTATGAGAGTTGCATGATGTGGTTTTCTTGGGCCCCTGCTTTCAGTTCAGCCCTTGCCTTTCGGAAACAACAACATGAACAGCAGTGTTCATAGGCAATCTCAGCAATCTCAGCAACATCCCTTCCCTTTGACTTCCCTTCCCATGCTGCAAAAAGCCGAGCCCGCATCGACATTCTGCAAAAATCAGCAGAGAATTTCGTTTCTTTCTTCTCCGTACCCCGCTCAGCCGCAGTTCTAACAGTCTAGTCTAGGACTTTGGCTTGCTCCGTTTGCCCTTTTTCAGGCATCGTTAGACATTCTTGCCTCTCTTGTCCGGTTTACCGCCAGGGGTTCCACTATCCTCTTCACTCGCACATCGTTTTTTCTGGGGCATGTGCTGTGCAAACGATGTGCCCATGCGAGATCTGCCTTGTTGTTTTTTTGCGGGATGTCTTGGTTTTTTCCTCTTCTTGCAGCCAGAACCCTGGAGCGCTGGAGACTTCACCAGCAAACGCTGTTGCTAGTATTTCATGGAATTTGTCCATGGGGCAAAGAGTTCTGCCAATGAACCTTTCATGAAAGGACTTTTGGGTTCTTGGGTTTAGTACCCTACCACTTGCGAGCCGCGCCACTGCAGCTGTGCATCTCGCCCTAGAGCGCTCTGGGGCATGTGTTGCATTTGGCGATTTGTCGCCTCCTTACACCTCGCGCTTCTTCCAGCGCGTCTTTCCAAATCACGCGCTGCCTCAAACCACCCACAGGTTGTGTCGCAGATACAGTCTCTCTCATGACAGGACTCGGCTTCTTCTACGGCGGCCTGGCGCCGTGGACTCTACCAGTAGGATTCGAGGGATGGGGCGAAGTTGGCGAAGTCTTCCCAACTCTTGGAGCTTGAACATCAGGGCGGCTGGTGTCATGAAAAAAATTGCCACAAACACGGAGAAGGGAACGACAGAGAGAGAGCGAGAGCTCGAGCCACCAAGCACCCTGTCTCACACCGACAAACCCGAAGAAGCGTGCCCCTTGGGGCGACCCCTCTCGAGGGGTTATGCGCGCTGCAAGCAAGCAAGCAAGCTCGAGGATTTCAGGTGGAGGTGAACTCGGTTCGGGGGAGTGAGGTGAGGCGTCTTGAACAAAGAAGGCCCGCATGTACTAGCTACGTAAGGTACTAGCTATGTAATTACCTTGCAGTGGGTTTCCGACAGAATATCGCAGTCGCAGGAGTCGCTGCAATGACCGGCGGGAGGTCTTAATTATTTAATTTTATCGCTACGTGACCCGCGTCGGCCCGGGCCCTGCCGAGCGGGTCCAGTGCTTTGCGATCCATTCGAGTGGACGCGGAATACAGATAATACAGGATGCCAGGGGTGCTGGTTGGAAGGGGGGGGGGTGATGGTCGGCTCAAACACCCCTGGTCCTGATGCACCGTCCGGTCCCGGAAACTGGGGGCCAAGCCGGGGGTGTTACTTGGGGAGGGGATTACCGGTGAGGTACCTCTTTTATGCTCCCCAAGCACCTACCACCGAGGCCTGCGCGGATTAGTGCATGGGGCATGGTGGGGCTAAATAGCGGTTCCGATCGGCCACTCCATGTGTTAAAACCTCGCCATCCAGGTCACTTCAGGGGCGCAATGTCTCCCGTGTGAGATGTCCAGGTCCAGGTGTCTCGGGGGAGGGGACGTCCTGAATGGCCGCCTGGTTTTTGTCGGACAAGCATCAGGACGTCCTGGCTAGCATGCAGTGATATCCCCCTCGATGCGCAACTTCGCTCCGCCAAGTGCGCTGGGAGGTTACACCCCTCAAGCCCCTTGAAAGAACGAGAAGAAGTGGCAGTGGGAGAAGAAGAAGTAGAAGAGGAAAGAGAGAGAGGGAAAGAAGGAGAGAGAGTGTTGCCGGCTTCCCAGGAAAACCTTGCTTACCCTTGTTAGCCTGGCTCTCGAAGAAGCTACAAGCTTGCCTTTATGTAACGTACGTAAACCTCACTAGTTGGATCTCTCACGTTTGCTTCCCGATTCTGGGATGGAGATGCTCGAGAGAGGAAGGGCGACGCAACAAGCCAGGTTTGATATCAGCACGCATCTGAACAGAATGCCCAAACCATCATGTCCCTGTTGGAAGCAAGTTGGAGAGTAGTGCATGGAAGTTCTATTGTTTGGCAGGGTTCGTTGTACGTGTGTTTTGGTTCCCCATAGTTAAGCCCCACGAGAGGCTGTGCTCTGAGAAGGACATGAGATGCCTTCGTTTTCAGAAACGCGCAACCTGCTCGGGCCTGCTAACCATGGAACCCCATGCTGCGTTTTGCGTGCGCTCGCATCTGACCGGGAATAGAAATACATGAAAATGTTCCAAGCCTCAATCCCAGCTTTGAAACCGTCAATCTCGCGCCTGGGATGCTGAACTCCAAGGTGCGCGACACGAGCATTGTCAGTACGATGATGATGAGTGTTCCTGGCAAGCAGAGAATGTGGGCATGCAGGACAAGTTGCCGACAGAAAGGAAAATTTAGATACGAGTATACAGTAGATGATTCGAATCATTTCAACTTGTAAGCCTTAAATCCTAGAATGCCTAAACCGTTGGGCGCCTTCAGCCTTCACGCACTAAGAAGCACCATTGCTTCTCAAAAGAATACATTCCTTATGCCACATCATCGTTTAAGGAACATAATTATTCCTTAATACAGGGGGAAATGGTGTTTCCTCGGAGACCCCTCAGGTGCTGGCGATGGGCGTGGTCACGCTAACCTGGATCATCTTTGGCTGCTTGGACCTGGTTAGGGTTTAGGGGGTTTACGGGGCAGGGGGGAGCGCCCTTTAAATAGGTTCTTTATCTGGACAGCCCAGCGCAAAGCAGCACTGGAGCAGCTTGGGATTTAGGTTTCAGGCCTAAAGCTCCTTCAAAGACGAGGTTTCTCGTGGGCATTCGGCGGTGACGGCCCTGTGGTTGGAAACTTCGAGTATTCGCTCTTCATGAACCTCGACATGAGCCTTGGCTTCAAACCTTGGCTACAAGCCTTGGCAACTTACAGCCTTCGGCAACCTGGCAACTTGGGGCGTGAGAGTTGTCGGCAGGGCCTGAGCTCCACCATATGAAGGAATGTTTAGGTGCATTTGTTCGGCAAGCCTACTGATAGTCGTGTTAGCATATCCCCGGTCGTCACGGGTGTCAGTAGGCTCGCAAGAGGCCAGTAAGGGGGGGGGGGGGGAAGTACTACCAGGTGGTCAGTGATGGGGGCTGGTACAACACGACCGATGGACTTTGAGTTGGCGCGGAGGGGGCCCCCTTCTTGTCCTCCAAGAAGAAGCATTCCGCGGTAGCCGCCCCCCCCTACCCCCCAAGCCCTACTAACCCCATGTTACATGTCTCGCCGCACAGAATGACCCCAGCTGAGTTCCAAGGATGATGTGGAGCGACACGGGGCTTCCTGGCACCTGTGCCAAGATTTTGGGGAGCACCCTGACCCTCCCTGATCCCTGCGACTCACACTTCTCGCCTTCTCGCATAAAGACTCGAAAAAACCTCCCCCTTCTCTTTGCCAAGAAATAGAGCTGTTAGCAACTTTGGTCAGCCCAAAACGCTCAACAAGGGACCCCCCTCCCAGGAAGGGACCCCCGAAATGTTCAGAAACCCTATACCCGCCAGCCAGCTGATAAGCCAAGGCCTTTGCTTTGCCTGCTTCCACTTGACTTTCGTCGTCTTGGCCTCGGCGCAGCTTGGTTTGTCAAGTTTTCGAAAAGACCCTCAACCCTATAGACCCTAACCTCGACCCTCCTCCCCCACCCTCTCTAGCTCATGGACCCCAAGGATCATCTCGGGTTCTCTCGTTGAGCGCATTCAGCTGAAGGCCTATGCCGCTCGGCCTTTTCTCTCGGCACACTTGTTTAAGAAGAGCCTTTGCCGATGCTGTCGTGCTCACCCAAAGATGAGGTTGTTCTGGTGGCGCTGTGGTCGCTCCTGGTATATGCTCCGCTGTGTTCCTGGGTACTGCATCACTTGCCCTTGGGCACTTCCCCTTCCTTGTTGGATCTTGTTTGGGGGGCTTCATTCTGCAAATGTTTGAGTCTGTGTGGGGATGCTATTTTAACGGCTCCCTCAAAACGGTATGAATACAGGGGTTCCGGGCATTCTGCTCCTGCGCAATTTAAGGTCACTCGGTCTGGGCCGAGGGCGGCTGGATCAATGACATGGGCCATCTGGATTTTGCGGGAGGGACGGTGGTGCACCTCAGCTCGGGCGCTGCTCGGAGAGCATCAATTCTTCATCCCACTCAAAAAGCCTCTCGTTCTGCACCCTTTGACATCCCTTTGTCACTTTGTCCCTATACGAAGACCTCCCCCTTCGATGTTGACAATTGTTGACCTGTTGAGGTTTCTGGCTATGTGGCAGGAGCTATACTGGGGCCTCGCTTCCACATTGACAAGGCCGTTCTGCGGGGTATGTTAGGAGTGTGAGATCACAAAGTCACGGGTGTGTGTGCGTGTGTGCGTGTGCGAGTGATGTGGCGGAGGATCAGGAAAGTTCCGGCAACATTCCCTTCGTGCACCTCGGACTCATGGGACACAGGACACTGTTGGAGCCTTGCAGTATCTTGTAGTGCACTACTTTGGAAAGGATACTCAAGCCCAAGCCTGTCACAACGCGCAGCTTTTACATCCACATGGCCATCGTCGAATCCGAGCTTTCCTTCACAGAACTCATTCAGGGGCTCGGCCATATGAACGGCTGCGCACATACTGCATATCATAGGTCACGTGCTTAACGTAACCTACAACTGCACAGGATTGCACAGGAATGAAAGGCATATGTAAAAAATTATATAGTTTTCAGCACTTGCACAACGCAGAGCCTGAGTTTAAATCATCTACAGCCTTTGCCGCCTTCTAAGGATCCTCGGGGCTTCCATGATGTGGCTGCCTGGAGCATCAGCTATTGAAGAGGGACCAGCGGGCGCTTTGATTGGGGAACATTTGGGTTGGCACAAAAATCGGGCAGCCTTCTGGGAATCCTAAGCATGAAGAATCGGACCGGTATCCTCAATGTTATATCAAAGATACTACGATGTGGAGAACCTCAAAAAAAGGCAACAGGTTATCAACCCCCATGTGAGCATTTCCTGGAAAAGCAGCTCCCCTGAAACTACTACACCCCAAAAGACTATAGACCGTACAGTATTGCATAAACCCCCGAAAAGAAGCCTTGTGTAGGGACAAGCCTCACATTTTCCACTCGAAACCCTACGCAAGCTCACAATGCAGGCCCTCAACCCTGAACCCCCCCATGCCTGGGCGTGAGGTTCGGCTGGCTTGGCTTCAATGGGGGCTCAGCCTACGGAGTCAAGGTGTGCAGCTCATCCCTGCGAATTTCCGAGTACGACCGACAAAACTCCTAAACCCTATAAGCCCTAAACCCCGGCAGCGACTGGCGAAGGCTGTCGATGTGTTACCAATGTGTTGCAACATAGATTCGGCAGATACCAGTAGTATGTCTATTTCCCCTCTTCGGGTTCAAGAGTGATCTTCTTTAGGAATACTTCAAGAATAAGTCAAGCCGAAAACCCCAAGTCAATCATCAAACTCAAGACAAGAAGGGTGAAGATTTGGGACTTTGAGCTGATAAGGGTACCATACTGATATTCGAAGGCTTCAGGGTTTATGGTTCAACATAAACGCGACTTACTGCAGGTCCATCAACCTAAGCACACACACACACACACCCACGCACGCACGCACACACGCGCACGCGGGCGCGCGGGCGCGGGGGCCCCGCGCCCGCGCGAGCGCACGCGCACGAGCACGCGCCCGCACGCGCCGGCATTCACATATGTCGGGGACCAACAGGCCACATAAACATAAAGATCCTATCGCCGGAGATCTGCGCCTACCATCATCCAGGCTTTCCAGGAAGGAGCTATTTCATCTACATGCGAGCATGGGCATCTCTTGTTAGTGTGTCGGGCTCATTTTAGCGGTATCATGACAGCACAGTGGGGATTCCATAGATATCGTGCCTTAATTACATCACCACTAGGCAGGGGATTCTTTGAAGGAAAAAAATAGCAGGATGTTTATGTGGTAATTAAAACACCGGATCTTTATGTGGGTGGTTGTCAAAATTATGGTCCCTTTTTGGATCCCTATTATAATACGGCACCTAATATTTAGGGTACCCCAAAAGGGATCATAATTTTGACAACCACCCATGTGGGTGCCAGAAACCAAGGGAACGCTGAACGAAAACGCAAACCCCGCTAAATAAAACTCAGGATTCCGCAGCTGGTTTCTGCGGCTCTGGTGCCCGAAGACACGGTTTTACTCTAGACTCTCGAGACTGCTGCTTCCTGTCCTGCAGCAGTAGGAAAGCACCCTTTCCAGCTGATTTATAACGTTGCGGCAAGTGTGCCTGCTGGATACCTGCAAGATCTTTATGTGGAAATTTCTTTACCTGTCCAATTTCTTCCCAAATATGTGCATGTCTCTCACCTGAAAATCACCTTGTTATCCATGTTATCCTGACAATTTTGAACCTTGCTCACTCTTGGCACGCAGCATGCAGAGACGCACGCAACGAAAACTCGCAGCCTCTGCAGGTACCCTCTTCGCTGGACCACCAACTCATGGGGTGGTCCCCCTGCGTACTAAACTAGTGCACTCGCGCACGCCTTCTTCCCCGAGCAACAGGGTTGGCACACACACACACACACCCACACAAACGCGCGCGCGCGCGCGCGCGCACGCGCACGCGCACGCGCACACGCACCCGCACACGCACACGCGCGCGCGCGCGCACGCACGCACGCACGCACGTACGCACGCGCACACACACACACACACACACCCCCACACACACACACACACACACACACACACACACACACACACACACACACACACACACACACTCACTTCACGCAGAAGAGTGGAGGCAATTGCAGCCGTTAACTTATGACTTGCTGGAGCTTCTCAAGCGACACTTTTCCTTGCGGAATACTACACGGACTACTGCGAGAATCTCTTCGTAAACAGAGTTGGACACACACACACACACAGCCCCTCTGTAGAGGGGCAGTCAGTAGAAGACCCGTAAGGCTTCTAGCGCATGCATTCAACACGACGCAATCGACTTCTCAAAATGACGGTCTGCATCCGTAAGCATCAGCGGCTTCCTAACAGAGAGCAACTGGCAGAATACGTCAACTAGACATGGTTCACTCTGTGTTTCCGTGAAGCAGTTGGCGATAACTTAAAAGCTCCATCCATGTGGACGCTGACCACCTGTTGCAAATAACCAGGCGGACTCGGAGCTGGCCACAATAGTAGCCCACCCAGAAATACGTGGAACTAACTCCACTGTGCTCCAAAACAATACCATCGACGCCTGCGCGAAAGACTGTGACGCGAACACGTTGTGAACACATTTGCGCTCCCAGCATCACACTTTCGGAGGGAATGCGAATCACTATACACAAGACTGTCTACAAGCGCAGACAATGGAAGAGTACTGAACAGTAGCATCAGTTCTCAGAAGGATATCGCTCGGGCATCAAACTTTAAAACTCTTATGACAGACTTCAGAGAAAGCGCGTCACTTGCATCACTGCAACAGTCTGTAGACAGCTGAACTTTCGACTTGGCATTCTGAGCTTCACACTTTCCGAAAGAATGCGAAACGCCCTAAACGCCCTGCACAAGACTGTCATCACTTCTGCGATGCTGTATCCACGTCCTGAACAGAGGGCTGAAACGGCGCAAGGGGGGGTGGGCACAAGTTGCTGTTGCGACTGGTTGGACCATCCCGAGCTTCCTGCCGACAGGAACTGAATGTTAGTCTGAGGTCCTTGCCCTTGCAAAGCGTGAAACTGGTTCATTTCCATTCGAGAAGACTGCATCGCCAACATCATAGA